AATGAATCGTGTAACAGTACGCATTTTATTTTATTTAATAAAATATTGATTTACAAATCGTGTTCTTGATATTTTTATAGACTACTAATATTAGAAGCATCAAAAAAGTAACTTTAGCTTTTGAGATGTACGTATCAACTTTAAATGGTAGTTAAACATGATACGTAGTGTAACTTTTAAGAGACAGTAAGTATACAAAAGAGCAGTGTATACGTAGGATTATTTAGCTACGTAGCATATGTGCTAATCCTTTTCTATGTATTTCGCTTAGTCGTGTGTATTTTTCTATTACCAATCTGTTTGTTTTAACAACGGTAAAATCAAAGTTGATAATGTTAATGGATTCCCATGTAGAAGCTCTGCTCATCGCGACGTAGACTTGACCTTCTGCAAATATTTTTTGGTCTACGTTTATTGTTGTGTGAGGTAAAGTTAATCTCTGGGTTTTGTGAATCGTGAGTGCGAAAGCGTTTTGAATGGGGAATTGACATCTAGATGCTAGATTTCCGTTGATGTCAAAATAGGTTGTCTCTTTTTGTAGGTTTAGCTTTATGATATTGGTATGGTCATTTATTATGTTTGTGATCACACTGATCGTACCGTTGCAAATGTTGTGGTCGAATAGTTTATTGTTTAGGAACATAACTCTTGCACCTTCTTTCAAAATTACTTCATCGGGTAAGTTTGTATAGCAGTTAAAGTTTAAGTGTTTATTGTTATTTGTGTTAAATAGGTTATGATTGAGTGTGTCAATGGCTTTCGAGGTTATTGAGTCGATTCCATATTCGTTGGTTGGAAGGTTATCGCAAATCAATTTATTAATTTCTTTGGCAGTTTCACGTATGCCTACAAGATGAGTAGAGGATTATTTCTTCAGACAATTTTTGTCTCAACATTTCGAACGCCAATTTTTGTTCTTTATCCTACCTGAATTTTGTACCCTTTTTGGTCAAATCCGTTAGTGGTTTAGCCAGTTTACTAAAGTTGTCTATAAACCTCCTATAATAATTTACTGTTTCATGAAACGATCTAACTTCATCTATA